TTGTCTGAGCCACCAGGAAAGCTCCAAATACATGTATTTGAGTCTGCTAGATATAGTGTGCCCCTAAATTTACTCACCCATTCAATACATATGTACTGAGAACTTGCTATCTTCAAGACACTGTTAGGAATTAAAAGATAGGTGGAGGTGATGGTCTAAAAGAGACTTCAAAGGAAGTCTGTCAAAATTCAGAATAAATTAGAAAGAAAAATTTAATTACCCTCAGGGGAAACGATGATGATAAAAACATAATCCAAGATGTAGTGGAATGATCAACAGAGTGAAAAGCAGAACTCTGGCTGTGATCAGTGTGAACTTTGTCAAGGTCAATTCACCTTCAGGTTTCTGTTACTATATATGATAAATGAAAATTTAACCATGTGATCATCAGAGTCTCCTCTAGCTCCAATATTAGATAAAACTATGCTCCATAAGCCTGATTTAAACTAGAAGGTGCAGATCTCATTCTTCACTTGTAATGGCTTCACTGATGAATAGCAATGTCAGCTAAAATGAATTCCATGTCTTCTTTCCTTTCCTGACTCCAATTTGATGGAGGTACCAGTTAGCAATAAAATAGGACTGAAGAGTTTGGACTCACAAAAGGAGAGAACTGCACCCAATATAATGATACTATGATGATAGGATTATAGAATTATTATTTTTACACCCAAACATTTTGAAAATAGCTAATGAAAACAAACAATGAAGAGTAGATAGATGAGTAGAATGTCAGTGAAAATAATCAGGAGACAAAAGTGTATAATTACTTTCTTGTTTGAACTTAAGAAAAACTAATGTCTAGTGATATTTTATTCAAAAATTTTATGTGCAAATTCAATCATGAAGCCATGGCAATCACAGGATAAAAGATAAAATTTTATCATTAATTAGAACATGGCTTGGTTTGAAAAAAGTTTGGTAGTAAAATCAAGGTTAAATGAAATACCAGGAGGATGTGCAGTTAGGTTAATAATGAGGTGCCTCAGGGATCAATGCTAGTACAGGTGTTCAAATATTTATTAATGACTTGGAAGAGTTGTGAATAATATGAAAGCACATTTGGATGACTTCAAGATATTTATAGCTATCAAAATAGGTGAATAACTGCTTTTCTTGACCCATTAATAAGCAATTATTTAAATCTTACGGAAAATAATCAACTAGAGCAAATTAATGTGAAGTGGGTGGAACTACCTGATTTTTCTTAATAAGCAAATAGCTACTGAAGTAGCTACTGCCTTTCAGGCAAGAGTGGGCAGATCTAAGAAGACATCTGTCCAGTAAACAGTTCTTCATACTAAAAAAAAAAAAAAAAAAAAAGACTGGAATAAATAATAATGCAATAAAATATTTACCTAAACCAATATGCATTGCTGAAAAGTTTTGCACACCAGAGTTTTGCTCTATTGTTGAGGCAAGGTGTGGCTCCTCAAACTACACACTAGGATTATCTGGTGTCTAATCTAATGATGTGCTAAAATGTTGTTCAGTCACTAAGTCATGTCCAATTCTTTGTAACCCCATGGACTGCAGCATGCCCAAATTCATTTTCATTGAATCAGTGATGCTATCTAACTATCTCAGCTTCAGCCACCCCCTTCTCCTCTAGCCTTCAATCTTTTCCATCATCAGGGTCTTTTCCAATAAGTCAGTTCTTCACAGCAAGCGGTAAAAGTATTGGAGCAACAGCTTCAGCATCAGTCCTTCCAATGCATACTCAGGGTTCACTTCCTTTAGGATTGACTGGTTTTATCTCCTTGCTGTCAAGGACTCTCAAGAGTACTCTCCAGCACCATAGTTCAAAAGCATCAGTTCCTTGGCACTAAGCCTTTCTTGTGGCCCAGTTCTCACATTAGTACATGACCACTGGAAAAACCATAGCTTTAATTATTCTGACATTTGTCAGCAAAGAGATGCCTCTGCTTAATATGCTATCATAGCATAGCTTTGTCATAACTTTCCTTGCAAGGAGCAAGTGTCTTTTAATTTCACGTCAGTAGTCACCATTTGCACTGATTTTAGAGCCCAAGAAGGTAAAATCTATCATTGCTTCCACTTTTCACCTTATATTTGCCATGAAGTGATGGGACCAGAGGCCACGATCTTACTTTTTTGAATGTTGAGTTTTAAGCCAGCTTTTTTACTTTCCTCTTTCAACTCATCAAGAGGCTCTTTGAGTTCCTCTTCACTTATTGACATTAGAGTCTTATCATCTGAATATCTGAGGTTGTTGATATTTCTCCTGGCAATCTTGATTCCAGCTGGTGATTTATCTGGCCAGGCATTTCACATGATGTACTCTGCATATTGGTTAAATAAGCAATTGGTTATATAGGCATGATAATATAAAACATCATACTCCTTTCCAAATTTTGAACCAGTCAGTTGTTTCACGTCTGGTTCAAATTGTTACTTCTTGATCCACATACAGGTTTATCAGGACACAGGTAAGGTGGTCTGGTACTCCCATCTCTTTAGGGTTTCCTACAGTTTACTATGAGCCACACAGTCAAAGACTTTAGCATTGTCAATGAAGCACAAGAGATGTTTTTCTGGAATTCCTTTGCTTTCTTCATGATGCAATGAATGTTGGCAATTTGATCTCTGGTTCCT